ATAACAATATTTAACAGTTGATAAATTCTGATTATCATTCATTAATTTATAAGGTTTTTTCTGATATTGTGCATGACGATTAATCACAGGTAACTTTTTTTATAAACAGAAATGATTGAAAGATTCGAATAAAAAATTCATGTTCAAAAAGATGGAAATGTGTTAGTATACCAACACGAAATAATAGTGTATCAAAGGTAGTCAAGAATCAGTGACAAATCCACAGAGAATGAAGGGGATTCGACCACATCTTCTTTGGAAACTAATTTCTTGCTAAACTTTAGAGATTTCTTTTCGAAACTTCACGTTTTGTTCTCATTCGTCAGTCCATTTTGTTCAACCGCACGTCCTTTCAAAGTTTCCTAGATCCGTCCCTGTCAAAAACAAAATTAAGAACAAGGCAATACGTTTATTTATCTGAATGTTCATTTGTTTTGTTTGACTACAATGAATGACAAACAACCTAATAACTGGTCAACATCGACAAAAGATACCTGAAACATCTTTAACATTTTCTAGGAGAATATAATAAGCGGTGCAAAAGTCTTTGAAAAAATGTCAAACCGAGTTAGAATATAGTGCTGACTTCTGAATCAATCAAATTGGTTTTTTGTTAGAAAGCGCAATGTCTGAACTACAAATTTTGTAGCAGACATATTTTTCCAGAACGAATCTGAGAAGGAGGAAAAGCTCAAAAACCAAACACCTCTAAAAAGCTCTTGAAACACTTTTGCAACTTAAAAAGCCTGTATTTCTGAATTATTTTGAGCTACACTAGATCAATTTTTGAACACAAAATACATCAAAACGCAGCAGATCAAAAACTCTATTAACATCAGCTTTGAAAATTTTCTTTGGATCCGTTCTTGACTCTTTAATCGAAAAAGTTCGAACTATGAAATCTTTTTGGAAAAATGAGTTTTCTTGCAAGAACCATCAATTTACAAAAACGTCAACCATCATCTTCAGAAATTATATACGAAGTCAATTCTTTTTGCGTTATTTGATAGAAATATGTCCAATCGTAGAATTTTAGCAGAAAAAGAAATAATTCATTAACATACTTTCATCATTGTAAAATAGTCAAGTAGTCAGAAGGACCAAACTACTTAATGTCTTTTAGAAAAGCTATTTATTGATATAGAAACCAAAAATAAATTGAACTTTCAATACAACATTAGACAGAGCACTCATTGTTCTATAAAAGTCATCATTGAACGTACCTTCTAGTTTTCTCTTCTAATACGAAAAACTAATAATAAATAGAAAATGATGTTGCTCGATGGTGAAGTTGCAAGAACTTTTTGGAGGTGTTTGATTTTTGAGCGTTTTCTCCTTCTCAGATTCGTTCGGGAAAACATGTCTCCTACAAAATTGATATTTCAGACGTTGCGCTTTCTAACAAAAAACCAATTTGATTGATTCAGAAGCCAGCAATATATTCTAAGTCAGTGTGACATTATTCCAAAGGCTTTTGCAGCGCTTATTATTTTTCGCGATTTTGATATCATCCACATTTCTTTTTTTCGCCGTAATTGTCTTCGAAATTTGTTTTCGCTATTCTTTCGTTCGCTTTTTCTTCTGCTGGACAATTTGATACATAGCGATGAAAATGAACAGTCCTTGATTTATTTTTATGTGATAATCTTTGATTTGGTTTCCTTTCGAATTCTTTCCTAATATTATCAATTGTAATAATTCATCATCATGTTTTTTTACATCGAAGAAAATAAACTACATAACATACTACGTATTTTCTAAGACAAAGTCTCAGTTTGAATGTATAAAAGCTCACGGTCTTCTCATGCATAAATTATTTTAAGAATAATTCAATATGTTGCAAGTATTTCATGAAAACAAACTTGTTTATTCAACAAATGAACCACGAACAATACATTCGAGATGTATAAAACATTAATCTCAATTAGTAGATGCATCTGATTTGATATAATATGGACTTTTCAAAGCTCAAATCAATCGTGATATAGAACAAGTAAATAATAAATAAAAAAAAACATATCAACACCAATTGTGTTAGGACTAATTGAAACAGCATTTGTTAATCGAGAAACAGCTAGTGTAAAATATCAATAAACACATTATGAAATAGGTTTTGATGGTTGATTTATTGCGATTCTTAGACGAGTTGTCTTTTAAAAAAATTAATCAAATGAAATTCTGTTTTTTTTCCTTACTTTTTTTTTTAATAGAAAAAGTATGAAATGGACTGTTACATGTATGTTCTGGTAAACAGATGAATTCCGTTTCAGTTTTCATTTTTGCTTTTATATGACAAGGTTAGCTAAACAGAATCTTTAAAAAAATGCAAAGAAAATTCTTTTTCATAGAATGAATAGATGAAGAATCAATGATATCGTGTGAGCCAAGAAGTGTGTGCTGATAATTTTTTGCTTCATTCATCTCAAAAAATCGTTGATCACCCAAATAACCTAATTTATGTGCATTAGATCAGTCTATAGAGTGAATTGACAGATACTATACACCGGGATCAATTAACAGCAAAGGCAACACTAAAACTACAAATAAAACCTTCCGTCTCAAATCTTGAAAAAGAGAAAACTTTACATTCGGCAGTTCATTTTACTGTACGATTAAGTTTGATGAAAAATAGAAAAACCTAAATTATTTATTGTCATAGATTAGAAAGTAATAGAAAGCTTCCACTAAATAATAAAATAATCCATCAAAATCATAAAAAACTTCTTGGAAAAAAAATTTATTTAATTTTAACTTATCTTTTGTACCTTAGATTTAAACGATGAATCCACACTCACACATTCGAAAACATTTTTATTTGTTGATATACATATATATGCATCAAACTGTTCGTATATTGTCAAAAAATTATGATAGTTGGTTACTTCGTGAACAAAGAAAATTTCTTACACAACTTTCTGATGTACATATTTGTTAACAACGGACAAACCTGGATGAGCCTTCAGCATATTGATCTGTTATCGAGGCGACCCTTGACTATCATATCAATACTCTTCTTTTCGAAATGTGGCATGGTCGTCGTTCTTTGTACTATTGCTGAACGTCCGGCGTGATCATCATCCTTTGTACTATTGTTCTATCCATATATAAATACACATACTTCTTCATTTCTTGATCAATAAACTGTATAACCAGTACTAGCATGATCAAGACCTTGTTCAATTATATCAAAATTAACATTATTTAATAAAAAATCAATAAACTACGGGCAGTTAATATTGCATTCGAATTCACTTACAAAATCGATTAATCACGTCAGTTGAAAAACTAATACCTTTAGGTTAACTAGACTGTCAATACATTGCATCATCAATGCCAAAATTAGTCACTTCTTTCATCCTTGGAAATTATCGAAAAAAGTCAATTATCAATTTTTTCGTCAATTCTAGTTATTCTGAATATATATCCTTGATTCATTTGAGAAAGAATGCCTTTTAATAGTATTCACCACTATACAAATAAATTCTATTCCTTATTTAATCAGTTGCTCAAGATACAATTTTCAACTTATTCGAAGTCTAGAATTTCTTCTTATCTTATATATATATTTGTTGAGAAAATATTGCTTGAAGAATCCGAAACAAATATCTAGTGAAAATTAGAATCTCATTTAAATATTATAATGACAGAAAATAGTTCATCTAAACTTTTTAAAGTCTACAAATATTACAAACAAACGTTTCAAACTGAGATGATGATTCATCGATGGTATTCATCTTTTTTTAGTGAACCAATCAGAATTTTTGTTCACTAGCGTGGAGGCCACTATGATTGGATTGTTGTATCTGTTTAAGCATCCACGTTGACCTGCATTGTGATCAACATACTCTATTTATTTAATAACTTCCCCACTAATGCAATGTGTCTGATCGAATACCACTAGATGATGCAATGTTCTCCTATTTATAACATTGCCATTGAATCATATACTATATTTTTATTTGTCTTTCTTTCATATTAATAGATGGCAACTTCAACAGAAGCACCAACTGAACAACTTGAAGCTTGTTCTATTCGTAAACATTATTTACAATCATGAGATATTCAATACTTTATAATTTTCATTCAACTATTTAGAAGGAACAATTGTTTATACATCAGAAAAACATGGTAGTGATGAAAATGGTGATGGATCAGAAGGAAAACCATTTAAAACTCCATTACAAGTATTTATCGACAACAAAAAATACAGATTCAATTTTAATTGATTTATTTTATTAGGCATATCATCAGCATGGCGAGAATGTAACCGTATATGTTGATTCAAAAGATGAAACCAAAGTATGATTTCATATTTTATACTCGACATTTATTTATTTATTATTTAGGGCAAATGGGAACTATTATCAAAATCTCAAGCAAAAAAAGTTAAAGCACGATACGAAGAAGAAAAACGCAAGGATAAAGCAGCAGCCGAACGAGAAGTAAACTACAAAAAAAAAGGAAAATGTCAAATGCAATCTTCTGTCACATGTATTATAGGAAAAAGAGCGACTACAACGTGATGAAAATCTAAAAAAAGCAAAAGAAATTACAATTACTGAAGATTCATCATTACCAAAAGCAAAAGTGGTATGTTGAGCATACTTATTCGAAAATAATATTTCATCATAAGTTTAGCTTAAAATCAAAGCACTAAAAACTGAACATGGTACACGTGTTAAAATATTTGGTTGGGTACATCGAATTCGACGACAAGGTAATATATACATATAAAAAGTTAATTTATTTACAATTTATATTTATTTCGTTTAGGAAGAAACTTAATGTTTATTGTTTTACGTGATGGTACTGGATTTTTACA